TACATTTAATATAATACATTTAAATACCAGCTAAAGAAAGGGGGAAGTTAATTGTCAACATTAACAAGACACCCTCACCGAAACTGCTGACATCTTGCCTTGCAAAAGTTTGTGTTTTTATGGGTTTGTGTAATTGTTGGTTACTTGTGTCTCTAATGTACCTTTTAGCTTAATAGTCGTTTTTAGTCAATGTATTGTTATATTTTTGGAAACATGTAATTTTAGCATATTTTTCTTCAATGTATCAGTGATAATTTTACAGTTTAATCCCAGCGAGTCCCAGGGACTCGCTGATCAGAAAAGTATGAGTCCCATTAGGCATTTAGAGAGTCCCAAATTTCGAATTCTGAAATGGTCTACTTATTCAATTGCATATGATAATAACACAAACAACAACACTATACATTGATCATAGGTTTATTTCTTATAAAGAAATGCTGCAAAAATTTTTAAATTAATTCAGGTATACAAGATTTGCTGAGAAATAGGTTCTTATTTCATCCCATGGTTCAGTCTTTGAGTTCATAAATTCTCCTCTCTTTACTCTCCTTCCAATGATGCAAGACTTTCTCAAAGTCAACTTATCGCAAAAAACTATCCAACTTTAGCTGCTTCCTCTGTGATATCTCCGCAATAAACTTTCGCAACACTTGTTCGCAACACTTGTTTTAACGTTCCACAACTTGGCAATCGTCTGCTTTCCGCGAGGTTAAAGGCCGATCTCGCCAATCTCGTCTCGCGAGAACGGAAATCTCGTCATGCGAGATTACTTATCACGAGATCGAAACAACAATGGCGGCGATCGTCCAACTGCGACACTGCGTTGCTGGAAAAAAAGATGTACCGTAATTTTTTTTTTTGTTTTTCTTTTGACTGAGAAATTACTTGCGTCCCAAAAACGCACATTACTGTATTTGGAATTGTGCGTCCCGCGGGAAAATTATGCGTCTAGGACGCGGGACGCAGAGGTAACGTGATGACTGATGTATTATGTATTTTACCCCTAGTCTTTTAGCATGACATTTACCATCTGTGTAGGGACTGCAAACGAAAAATAGCCTTCTTGGTAACTCTGGCATATTTACAGAAATGATTATTAATATGTACTGCCCCTGATATAAATACAATAAAAAAATAAAAAAAACAACTAAGGTCTTTCAGTTGACAGTGCAATTATGGACACTAACCAAACCAGACAGAATATGTCTTCAAGGCACAGATTTAAAGGTACAGGAACATTTCTGCTGCTTTGAAGGTCCCTACAAGCACTCCAACATCAGAAAATGAAAAACAAGTTGTCAAAACTGAGTGATAAAAGGGGAAGACCTTTAATCAGAGAGATGGCCCTTAGACCAATGGGCACACTTTTAGTGCCCCCGTGTTCCTCTGTGCACAGAAGAGAAACTTCCAAAAGGACAACCATCTCAGCAGCAATCCACTCGTTATGGCCTATATGGACACTCAAAAAATGAGTGCTGTTGTGAAGAAAAAGAAAAAAAAAAAAAAAGACTGAACTCTTTGGTCCGAATGCCAGACATTTATGCTTGAAGGAAACCGAGTACCTAGCCATTAACATCCTACAGAGAAGCAGGTGGTAGGAGCCTCATGCTGTGAGGATGTTTGACAGTTGTAGGAACTGGAGACTCGTTGGAATTAAAGAGAAGATCCCCTCAGCGAAGTGCAAAGACATCCTGATGAAAACATGCTCCAGAGCGATTTTGATTCAGACTGGGGCGATATTATATAGATCTTTCAGCAGGACAGCCGTATAAATAATCAGTGGCTGTGCATCATACTCTCATTCAAGCTGATGTATCTTGAGAGGAAAGAAAAATTAGTAAAACTTTCCAAAGAGCCGTGTTAAGCTCATGGCATCATATTCAAAAAAAGAGTTGAGGCTGTATGTACTGAGAAAACGCTCTGAGTACTCATGTGAAATGCAATCGCTTTGTTTTTTTTACATTTTTTTTCCTAATACTGTAAATTTAAGAATAAAATATATTTTGCAAGAGGAACGTAATGTATTCGATTTTGGAAAAAAGGCTGGAACATAAACAAGAGCTGTGAACACTTTTTGGATGCACATATACAATATGGTGAGAAAAGTGGGGGTTCTAAATGCAGCACTGGGTTGAGAACGATTGGCCGAAAAAAATAAAGGAATGTGCAAACCAGGAAGGTAGGTTGACTAGACAGACAGGCAGACCATGCAAACCAATAAGTGTGGAATAGCTGCAAACAACAATTTTTAAATGACCCTTTTCTGCAGGATTCGCCAAATCTATTTATTTATTTAAAAACCTCGAGGAACAAGATTTAAGATCTACAGTAATTGTAGAAAACTTTTAAGACACCATGAGATTTGTTGCTTTATCAATGCTGTCATGACCATACAGAAAAAGAATGCCAATAAATAGCGCAAAGACTTCCACCAAAGCTAAAGTTGCTCACGTGGATATTAGGCACGGGCTGATATTAGATTATGATGGTACAATAACCAGGGTTTTTCCTATGTTCAAAAATTGCAGGGCAGCCGCCTCCAGCTAATTTTGTGCCGCCCCCAGCCAGGTCGATTGATACTGGTCGACACAGCGTTAAGTTCTGGCTGTGCTGATCTCGTGATTGTTGTCCCTCTGCGGCAGTGACGTATTTTAACTGCAGTTGCAGCGTTGCACCACTATGGAGGCACTATATCAACGTCTGTGCACAGAAAAGACCTGAAGCAACTACCGTGGAAGGAACAAATCAAATCGTGTTTTTTTTTTTTTTTTTCCTTGCTAGTCGGTGCTATCGCTGTCCTGATTTTCCCTAGCGGATGGTTCAAACAGGTGAATATTGTCTGGTTGTTTTGCATCCAAGCATGTTGATTTCTAGCGTTGCAGATATGGCAAGCAAAATCAGCCGCTCGAGAGGAGAAAAGCCGAGTCCAGAGCAGAGGAATTAAGGCAACAGGCAGTTAAAATGTAATAATTCATAGTGGGGACAACATGTGGAAATTTGGTCTGAAACACTGGTGATAGTGAGGGCCAATATGCAGGACAGGACGAGTCGGTGAGGCAAGGCTACCTAAATCTCTTTCCAATTAGGAGCATCACAACACAAAGTTAATGTATACATAATTACGACCTTCTTTTTTTATTCCTCTTTCCATATCGTCTTTAAAAACACACGAGCCAGTGGCTTTGACAAGCAGTGGCTAAATAAATGTACCTGGCTCAGGCATACTGAGGAAGGTACGCACTGTTATGTAGATGGTAGTACCAAAAAACACTCAATTTATAATAAGGTTCCAAAAACTAAAATAATAATAATGTAATTTAGATAGTTGAAGAATTTTTTTTTTTTTTAATTTTAAACAGAGGACACTGCGGGTCCTATCGAAGCACATATGGACATGGACCACAAAGCGCTTGAAGGAATGTCTATGAGTGTCTCAAACAAAAGTGACCCCTTTAACAGAAAGCTGATGAAATTAACAATACAAACAATATACAATTGCTTTCTTGACTGACTTTAGTGTGTTTCAAAAAGTTGACGAATTTGCAAGTGGCCCTTTCAACCATTTTTCTGTATGCGACCCTCAAACGAAAATGTTTGACACCACTGTTCTAGAGTGCGGTGCCCACTGTCAGAAAGTTTGGTCTCAGGCGCAGGTCTTGGGTCTCGCAACGGAATAATGACCAAAAACACCCAAGATTAAAACACGCAAGAAGGACAAAGAAACTATTCTGAAGTGGCCTTCTATGACCCTAATCTAAACCCGACAGAACATCCATGGAAGACGCTGAAACATGCTGTCTGTTGAAAGTGGCCTTAAAACCTGAGACAACTAGAGCAGTTTCTTCATGCAGATTGGGAAATCAATAAACTGAAGCATCTAATTCAAGGCCAGTAATTGTCAACTTTTTGAAAACTATTGCTGAGTATAACACAAAAGCAAGTTGTTGATTCTCTGTTATTTATTGACACTTAAAAGACGGAATTTGTCAACAATCAACTATTGTTTTAACCATCACTTAATCATGATGATCATGGCTAGTTGATGACAAAACAGCATTATTTTATTGCCTATAATGTGCAGTTGCACTCAAGACCTTGTTTTAAATTAGATTCATTTGCAAAGTTACACAGTAGATTTCCACGAACTACCATGAATTACTCAACAACTCATATAAGAGGGGGTCAGTATTTACTTAAAGTGGCTATCTATTGAAATGCTGTGCATTTGGCAACTAATGTAATTTACAATGAGGCTAGAAAACTTTTGAGTGCAACTGGACATGTAAATGTTATAGTTAGTAAAGTAGGTAATGCTACTGCAACATTAACCAGGGGTGGTAATAATTGATTTCACTACGTACATGGGAAGTTACGACATCCACGCAGACCTCCACTGAAGCACTATTATACAGTGTTCACTATTCGATTTAAAAAAATAAAAAGAATGGACTAACACCAAATTCATTCTATATTCTAATCATGCGGAATCAAGGAAATAAAGACGTGTGAAAAACATTCACATGTGCAAAAATAAACAACATACCAGAGGTTAAGAACAAGCAGATCAGATACTCATTCAACCTCTAATTACCTTCTTCATGCTGGCACCAGCGTAACTTTTGGCCTCCTCCTTGAATTGGGGAAGTCTGTAAGAAAAGGAAACAAAAACAAATTTGGTCAGGGATCAGGATTGTACCTTGTCAAATTACCTTGCCAAATTGTACAGTTTGGTGCGACTGCTAACATTCTAAAATTGATCAAATTCGAGGAATCATATTCTCAGTGTTCACGCTGCATGGTATATGTTTTATAGACTCGAGATCTTGGGCGGGGAGGGGGGGGGCAATAAATCTGCCTAAATTTAATAAATGTAAAGACTGATTTACAACTACAAAAACAGGCACAAACTTGATTGCTAATGCACAGACGAAAGCTGATCTACTAACCAGACACAATATTGGGTCTGCCAAAATTAATAATATGGCTATACGGTTCATTATGTGCATTGTGGAAGATCCAAAATATTAATCTAGGACATGCAACGTGATTTATGAAACCTGGGGGAAATTGCAATGGCTCATTTTGCACCGGGTCTGAAAAGCAGGTGCAGCTGTGCCAGCCTCTGAGAATTTTCGTGCGTCTCTGTAATTTGATTTCAGTGCTGGGATTACTGGGATTGATGTCATGCTAATTTAAAATATGAGTGTGTATCTTCATTCCATGGCAATGAATCTTGCTAAAGCGAACAGTAACTAAAGTTGGACAGTCACAGTAAAAGTAAAGCTTAGTTTGTAAAAAAAATTGCTTAACCATTGAGTCGCTCAACTCTACTGGTGTTAGTTATGTTTATCTATGTTTATGTTTATCACGGTAATCTCTGACCCTGATGTGACCAATCTATCAAATTTGGCAACCAGGTATCCTGTGTGCAAGCATTAGCTACACCCTCAGAACATACATTTTCTAATTCTGGGCACACTGTCGGCCAGAGGCAGCCATGTCTGTATTTTGAGAAAGTATCTTGTTTTTTTTTTGGGTTTTTTTTTTTTTGGGGGGGGGGGGTCCACGAAAAACCTTCATTGAGCAGGTGCTCTTCAGTATGTAGTGTAGCAGGGAGCATTGGAGACGGACGGACCAGTCATTTGTTTGCAACTTTTCTTTTGCTAATGATTTGCGGTTTATTTTTCTAACAAGAAAACTGCTTTGACAAAATTATGGGAGTGACAGAATCCTTGTATGTAACTGTTTGTCTTCCATCACTTCAAACTTTTTTTTTTTTTGCTTGTGCTGCTCACCCACATTTTTCATGGTGAAAACTATCAAAGCTAGCATAAATTCAAAGCTCTCTTAACTATGTCAGTGGCAATCTCGACCTCTTCACACCTGTTGCCAACATCGCGCACCAACAGTTAGTGAGAAAACAATTTAGCACTAGCTATTTGCAATTTTAGTAAAAGATCGCAATCCAGGTAGATCAAACACAATCCACCAGCCAAGCGTATAACCTGTTAGAGGGGACGTAATTTAGTGACCACGAATTGTGATCCTTCTAAATCGGGCGATTTTGTGAGCCAATATATCATGCCAAGCATAAATACATTAGCAGTATAACTAGAATACATTAGCAGATAAATGATTAATTAGCGGTAAGGAAAACAAACTAAAAACAGGTTTAAAAAAAAAAAAAAACTGACAAAAGAAATCAGTATGGCCTTTTCCGAAATATAAATGCATACAATCAATTCTGAAGGAATGTAGACCATGCTGTAAGCCACTTAGAAGCCAATAACATGGTGGGAATCTCAACATTCCCTGCTTAAGTCTCCAACAAACTTCTCATAAGATGGTGAGCAATGTCATCAAAGTGTGTGTGTACGTGCGCGAGTCTCCGTGCGTCTCTACAATTTTGTGGACTTTAAGGATTTACTAGAAAATGAGATGTCACCAGCAATCACATGCACAAATATAAAAAAAAGAAAAATAGAAAAAGAAAAAAAAAGAAAAACAGGAGAGACCAGCACCCCCTGACATTAACTGTGATAATAGAGAGTTGCCTCACAAGCATGATTATTGGATGAGCTGTGGGTCCAACAGATTTACATGCTAATACTCTTATAATCCAAGAGTGTTGTCAAACAGACCAACAGCATTGCTCATTGAGGGCTCCAGTTCACTCACATCTCTATTATCCACCATCTGTGGTCTGGAGGCTGGTGGAGATTGATACTGGTCGACACAGCGTTAAGTTCTGGCTGTGCTGATCTCGTGATTGTTGTCCCTCTGCGGCAGTGACGTATTTTAACTGCAGTTGCAGCGTTGCACCACTATAAAAACAGGAGAGACCAGCACCCCCTGACATTAACTGTGATAATAGAGAGTTGCCTCACAAGCATGATTATTGGATGAGCTGTGGGTCCAACAGATTAACATGCTAATACTCTTATAATCCAAGAGTGTTGTCAAACAGACCAACAGCATTGCTCATTGAGGGCTCCAGTTCACTCACATCTCTATTATCCACCATCTGTGGTCTGGAGGCTGGTGGAGTTTGAACAATGAAAAGTAATATTCGTGTGTGCATTTGAGAAAAAGAAAAAAGATCAAAAACATTGAACAGAAATTTTTCGATGAAAAAAAGGGCGGAAAGCCACAGGTGCTGAACCACAACTTTGTAGGGGTCAACTGGACTTCATTTAAGAACTAAATGGAAAAAAAACAACTGGCAACCGCAACAAGCTTTGCTCTATTTATAAAGAGAACCCCACACATCATTTAGCATTATCGCAAAAGGCAATATGTGTATTGAAAGCCAAAACTGAATTATAACTGCCCCGACAACAAATACATAGTTATTGCTGGAAATGCGTTTCATGTCTATGAGTACATACCAAAAAAGTTTCATTCATTTATATATATATATATATATATAGAGAGAGAGAGAGAGAGAGAGAGAGAGAGAGAGAGAGAGAGAGAGAGAGAGATAGATATACAGATAGAGTGAGTTGAAGCATTTCATTGGCTCTGTTCTTCATTTGTACTTTCGAGATGTAAAACATCTGGCATAGTTAACCACGTGAAGGGCAGTCTGCAATTGTGTGTTTCCATTTGTGTATTGTGCATTATTACAATGCAATTGATTCCATGTTAATTCTCCATTCCTTCCATTTTCTGCACCACTTATTCTCATGATGGTTTCAGGCAAGATGGGAGTTTTCAGTTTTACCCAAAGGTATTAAGTTTTATATTCCATTTAAAATTTTGAGATTGATGTTTGTAAGAATTTGCCAATGTGAATAAAATGTGTTCCAAATCATTCTAAGTTTTTTTAAACACAAGACACCACCTGCTGACGAAAGTGAGGAGTGACAATTACGTAGTCATCATTTACAGGCAGGTGAAAATTCAATTGGGATGATGTACAATTATGCAGGAATACTCTTCAGCATCCACGTTGGTTAAGTATTTGTGGATAAAGTCAGCAACCAAGAAAGAATGTTTATTTACACCAATAATGCTTTGACAAATAAACATTTTATATTGTAGATCAAATATGTTGTCCTTATACAGGAAGAAAAACAGCAGATAAAAAAATGCTTTTAATTATGATGGCTATACATTATTCGTCATCAAAAGTGTTTCAATTATCCATTGAAAGTGAAGTGATAAAAGAACTGACAATGGTCAAATTCAGGCTTCAATAAATGTTACTTCTCACACCAGCTGAGGAGCCATAATATACTTTGGCCCAAACACCAAGCAAAACATAGATGGCTGTAATTTATATTTACATTTGAATATAAAATAATAGAATATAAATACCATTCTAATATGATTGGTGTTCGAAAGGAAAACTACTTTCACCAACAGTTACATGTCTCTGAACCCTGAAAACATAATCCTTGTATATTTTTTACAGTTATTATACAACACTGAGCTATGTATACAATGAAACCAAAGACCAAAACCTGTTTTCAGGCCCAAGCACAAAAAAACAAATGTTTTCAACAAATAACTATAATAGTTTTTGGAAATACTGTAATGTAAAATAATATTGCTTGAACGCGTCCTCAGGTGCCTTTGCAGAACGTTTAGTCGACATTGTGGGGTATGTATGCACAAAGACAAGGTGCGGAGACTGTTCACGTTGGTCAGTGCCTTAGCCAATCAGGATGCAGAACGCAATTTACTGTTTAAAAGCATTAAAAAAACTGCACTAAAAAAATCCGTGAAACAGCGAAGCCGCGGAAGGTGAACCGCGTTAGAGCGAGAGATCACTGTCTATGAAAAACTGTACTTAAATGTGATACAGACAAAAACTTTACCGGAACAAATTTGAAGGGCATAGCTGAAGACGAGTTTGTTATGTCTATTTACCTGGAAAACAGTAGCTGCACCATATCAACAAGGGTGTGTTCAGCTGATTTTCTGAGTAGCTCTGTGTGCACAGGAAAATAAAAATAATAAGTTTGATGTAAAACTATGACAGAAATAAACAAACCTCAAGAATGAATACAAGTAAAAGGCAAAAAAATGCGAGGTTGGGTGACGAACCACTTAGCCGCATTTCAAAGCAGATTCGGAAGCAGGACTGCATGATCTCACAAACGGACTCATTGGTCAGATGGGCTCCAACTGGTGTCAGCAGCAGTGTCCTCAAGACCTGAAAGAGGATCATAAGCTTCGGCATGATGTGTCATTGTCTGTCATGTGCATCTTTTAACTTCAATCAATTATCTGAAAATGCCTTGCATAAATTAAGTATGCTTTTCATCATCCGCATACAAAATAAAATCAAACAATCCACATGCAGCAAAATAAAATCAAACAATCCACAAGCAACAAAATAAAATCAAACAATCCACATGCAACAAAATAAAATCATGAAAATATGATGAAATAGAACTACAGGGAAACTGTGAATACAATGCTCCGCTTTCTAAAAATGTGTAAAATCCGCTTATTCTCTGTTGTGATGTCCAGCGGGTGTTACGTACTTGCAGAATTTTCATAAGGACCACTTCATCACTGGCAGGGTCTGTTCCGACAAATCTGGCGTGTGTTACAGCGTCTGCCATGTTCTCTATGGCCTCAGCTGCACCTTCATGGTTAGCATCTGCAAATACGAAAATAATCAGGTTAATGTAACTGAAGCAAGTTGAACTGAAGCAAGTTGAGGTGATTAAAAGTGCACTGGATTTCAATTAATTGTACAAGTAGTATTCGAGTGAGGAGAGAGGAGCGTCAGTGAGGAGTGCGGATGTGTATTTGGCATTGAGAGTCGGCACTTGGAATTGAAGCGGATCTAAATGGGACAGGAGAATTGAACCACCCTATTTGTCAATGTACCCTACAGGTTCTTGTTTACTTTCAAACTGATTTTGTAGCAGAAGTGTGTAATGTCATGCACGCTGTGATCATGACTTCTCTGATCCACTGGTGCAACGAGACTTTGATTCTCTCTTCTTTCATCTGTAACTGCTTCAAACAGCAAGGCATATGTAGGAATAATTCAGACTGAATTACTGTATGGTAATACTGTGTAAATTTTATCTTATGTGTTAAATATTATGTGAAGCGCTTTGTGACAGCTGCAGCTGTTGTGAAAGCACTAGAAAAATAAAGATGTATGATATTGTATAAGTACCGTATCTATAAAGTGAAAGTTTCAGCGACAATGATTAAAAACAAGTGATAGTCACTCAGACACAAACCATATTTGCGCTTTATCTAACACCTACCAAACAAAGTAGCACATATCTCGTTACCCACCTATGAGTACAGTAGTCAAAATATTAGGGGTGTCACAATTTGGATTTTTTTTCATTTCGATGGAAATTACTACAAAATCACTTACATGTAGCCCATCTTTTTGAAATAAGATTTACTGTAAAAAAATTTATTAATAAAACCAATGATCGGAGACAAGGCTAGTGTAAAACTGGCATAAGTCTCTGTCATAAAAAGAAAACAATAAAATCGAGAATGAAATAGAATCGTGACCCTAATATCGAAAATCAAATTGAATCAAGAATTTGAAAAAAATATATAACAACACAGTAAGTTGTACAGCATTTGCTTCAATTCATTTTTCATGATTTTGCTCCCCACAACATGAGACCAGATGCGGCCTTTTGTGAGAGGGACACATGGACAAATTGACAGGCGGCGCAACGGGTGGTGTTTTGGAAATCTGAGTGACTAGCAAGCTCTCTGCCAGCCTGTTTTTCATTACCATCACCCTTGAAAACAGCAATTCATTACTAATAAGCAAGGGTAAAGAGATGAGCATATTGTGAGCATAGATGGAAAGACTGATAATAAAGGATCTTTTTTAAAGTAAAGCTACAATGCAGCCTGTCTATTTGTGTAATGCAGAATGTAGAAATGATGGAAATAAGTGTCTGACATTTCTTTAAAAAAAAATGCAGAAAATGTTTTTTGAAATTGATTGGTATTAAGGCAGGCAATCACCCCCTGCAAGGAGACCAGAGCAACAACAATAGAAATGAGACAGCAAAAACCTTCACTGAATGAAGGAAGTACGTAGGAGTGTAGTTTAAATCAGACCAGCAGCAATATAAAGCAGTTGGAATGCTGCATAGCATGTGCCACATTGGTCAGGCATGAGTTGAGAAAAAGTACATCTTTTCTGCTAACCAGAAGATGGCAGTGTTTGACAAGGCTCAGATTTCAATGATTTTCTATGACAGAAATACTGATTTTATTTTGGTGCAGATACGAATAGGTAATAGGTTGAGGTTGACAGCCTTCTGCTGGATTAAATCCTCTGTAACTATATGGCACATTGAGAATGAGCCTTTTTGTATTTCAAATACAATATTGAAATTACTTTTCATTAGTTATACAGTATGATGGATAGTGCGAATAAAGTGGTTGCCCAACGTCAAGTTTTCAAATTTTCCTCATGCACCTTGTGTTCTTAACAGAACAGCAACAGCTTTAAACAATAAAATGAAAGGGAATCTGTCTGTTGTGGAGAACTGACGTCAGGTAAAATTGAACTGCATGATTCAGTGCAGTTCAACAGAGCTGTAACCTGGAACTCTGTTTGTTGCCTTATTCTTAAGCATTATCTTAATAATTTCTGCCATCTATTGAATTGGATTTCAATATATTGTAACATTGTGCGTTGCGAAAATAAAAATGAATCAAAAGACGCAACATTTATCACCTTGAATTTATGAAAGTAATTGCATATTGATTTCATCGACAATATACTGTACAAACACAATTCCAATGAAGTTGGGACCTTATGTTGAAAAAAAAAATAAAAACAGAAAACTGTGCAAATCATGTTCAACTTATAATTATTTGAATACACTATAAATACAAGATATTTACTGTATTTTCCGCACTACAAGGCGCACTGGATTATGAGGCGCACCTTCAATAAATGGCCTACAGTATTTTGTAATTGTTTTCATATATTGGACGCACTGGATTATAAAACGCAATCTACACTGCATCCACTAGATGGAGCTACGCTCCTTCCGTTCGACTCGAGAGGCGTTCATGACCGCCTCCGAAAAAAACGTAAATTAACGATTACTTCAATGAAACTACGAAAATTGAAAATAATTTCCTTGAGCATAGCTCCAACAGAACGATCAGATGTCAGTAAAATGTAGGAAACTGGACTGTCTCAGAAGTGTTTGTTATTTATTCCTTTGTTGTGCACTGTCTTCACAAACGAGGAAATCACAAAATGAATTCTGTAGGGGGGCTATAGAATTTATTTTGTGATTTCCTTGCTTGATTTTCTCTTTAGATGTATTATTTTCAATTTTCGTAATTTCATTGAACATTAGTTAACGTTTTTCGGAGGCGGTCATGAACACCTCTCGAGTTGAACGGAAGAAGAGAAGACACGGAGACGGACAAAGACGTACCTGTGTTTGTTGAGACTGTGAAAACCATTAATAAAGTGTGCGTATTAAAAAAACAACACCACAGCTCTCCTTTTTTCGGAGCTGCAACAAAAACTTATTTAATAAAGCAGCGACACAGTTCACTGAACGAACAGCAAGTTATAACATTGGAAGTATGTCTCCAGCAAGGAGCCATCTTGGGGTCGACATGTTACCATAATGATCATACACAAGGCGCATCGGATTAATTAAATAATCAATAAATACGAATTTTATGGCTGCAACACGTAATAAACCTGGTACTGGGTCATGCTAACCAGCTCAGGCCACCTCGCCTTGTTTCCGCGGAAATTCAGCTTCGGCTTCTTGACTTTCTGGAGTTTGTCTTAAATTGTCTCATGGCTGCTCAATTGCCATGTTCCTCCGCATAACTAATCGCTTCAAGTTTGAACTGTGCTTTGTCGGCATGTCTCTTCATAGGTGCCTTTTTCCAAGGTTCGAAGCTGTTTTGACCAATGCACGTACCGACATTATATCTGCCTATTGGTGGGCATGCCTTTCATGCCCACCCTTCCCCTTTAATGTCCGCATGCTGTCCTCGGTTACGTCCACATTTCCTCTATTTCAACAGCATGCCTGCATAACATCAGATAGTCAAGCGGAGCGCTCATCGAAGTCACACAGCAACATTCACAAATTTTTTAACTGTGCGTAGAATAGGTGCCCGCATTATTAGGCGCCCAGTCCATTTTGGAAAAAATTTAAGACTTAAGTGCACCCTACAGTCGTGAATGTACGGTAATTCAATAAGGACACCAATTGTTGAAGCTTTGTGGATGGAATTCTTTCCAATTCTTGCTAGCTGTACAGCTTCAGCTGTTCAAAAATCCGGTGTCTCTGGTGTCGTATTTTACGCCTAATGCACCACACCTTTTCATTGGGAGACAGGTCTGGACTGCAGGCAGGCCAGTCAAGTACCCGCACTCTTTTACTACAAAGCCACGCTGTTGTAATCCGTGCAGAATGAGGTTTAGCATTGTCTTATTTAAAAAAAAAAAAAAAAAAAAAAAAAAAAACAGGGGCGTCCACGGAAATTACATTGCTTGGATGGCAGCATGTGTTTCTTCAAAACTTGTATGTCCCTTTCACCATTAAGGGTGGCTTCACAGATGTGTCAGTCACCCATGCTTATTTACACTATCACCGCTCCATACCATCACAGATGCTGGCTTTTGAACTTTGCATCCACAGCAGTCAGGATGACTCTTTTCCTCTTTAGCCTGGAGGATACGACATCCACAATTTCCCAGAGAAGCCGGCAGTGTTTCTGGGTGTTGTTGATGAACAGCTTTTGTTTTGTACAGTAGAGTTTTAAATTGCAGATGTAGCGCCAAACTGTATTTATGCCATTGTTTTTCTGAAGTGTTCCACCTTGACACGATGTCGGTTTTGGATGCAGTGCCACTTGACAACACTGAATATGCATATTTTCAACGATGTGAAGTCATGCAGTTCAAGTCATAGTAAAGTATTTTGTAAGTTTCACCCAAGCAAAACGCAAGTTTGAAAAATCGCAACTCGGGTTTAACTCTAATCAAGTCATGTGACTCAAGTACTCCGCCTCTACAAAATGTGGGAGTTCATGTTGGGATTCATGGTTGCCTTCATTAATCCGTAGTTGAGTACCAGCATCAATCATGCTGCCCTTGACCAAGACACTCCAACCACCATGTTTGACTCAAATTTGGCTTCGTGCTCCTCAACTGGTCACTCCCAAACACAACTGACACCATCTGAATGGAACAATAAGTTTCTTGGTCTCATTAGACCACAGATTCCAGAAATCAATTTCTTTAAGTCTGATTGTTTTGAGCAAATTGATTGAGGCTTTCTTGTGCATCATCTTTAGCAGAGTCTTGCATCTGGGGAGAGAACCATACAACACCTTTTGATGCAGTGTCGAACACATGGTCTGAGCACAGACAAATTCACCCCCCCCCTTTTCACTCTTTGCATCAATTCTAGCAACCCTAACCCTAACCTTGGGGTGGTTGTTCTGTTCAATTGCGTTCTAATGTCATGTCATGACTGGGATTTGAACCATCGTTACTGTGTGAAAGACACCAACTCACTGCATTGCTCGGCTGCAAGGTAATGTGTTTTCATTGACCATCACTGTTTCGAATCTAGTTACCTCACCATCACAATTCGAAATGGTGTTTGTAGACTTGATCTCATGTTAAGATGGGCAACAGTTGGATAAGGAAAGTCATTTGTGCTGAACTGCAAGAATGCTAAACTTAGCTTAGCATGGCACGTCTCTGGTCAACACCTCGCTTGTAGAGAGATCCAGTGTGAGTTAACAAGAATTCTTGTGGGAAATTGTTTCAGAAATCACCGAAAATAAATTACAGGCCAATGTAATGCACATCTGTGGCTCCAGCGGGTTGTGGGAGGACTCATTACCGCTGAGATGCGCTCTTAATAGGCATCCCATGGCAGTAATGGAATTCTTGGTGTAGTGCCAGGGGGGCAGCAAGTGAGTGTGACAGTCGCGACTCGATCTCCTTTAGTGTTCAATTTTAGTTTGGATCTTTTGCTGCAATGTTTTTTTGTTTGTTTTTTTCAAACAAGTCATCTCGGGCTATAGGAGAAGCCTAAACGGCCACAAGAAGCACTTGACCAGGTGATTGATTGATTGATAGATAGATAAAGAGAGAGAGAGAGAGAGAGAGAGAGAGAGAGAGAGAGAGAGAGAGAGAGAGAGAGAGAGAGAGAGAACTACACCATTGCCTGGTGTGATATGAAAATATTTCATTAGAATAGTGTTAAAAGATCAAACTTGGCAAACTAAATTGTTACTTGTAGATGCACGTTATCGTTAGCAAACAGTTAACAACAAAAATCAACTGGGCAGTGTGTGCATGGTGATGGTTACGATTATTTGAGTAATCAATGGAATATAATCAAGAGAAGAATCAATTCTGAAAAGATTTGTTTGTGACCAACTTCCGAATCCAACTAGGGATGGGACCATTGCAAAAAAATGACAGTTGGCCACTCAACCCACCCGCACAATAGGCAATTTATCATAAGGACTCCTTGCAAATTGAACTGTGTGAGTGTGTATCACATTCTGAAGCTCCTCATACAATTTGTCATACCTTTTTTTTAATCCATAATAAAATGGCGTGTCATTCAAGGAGGACGCAGATTGCGAACAGAAAGACATGGATGAGAATAAAGATGAAAAAATGGGCATATTTTGAAAGGTGGGGCTTGCTCCCATTCATTTGAATGTAACCAGTGCGGTACATACGCTGCTCACATATATTTTTAACACAAGCTTTGCTATTTCATCCACAGGTCCATATGAAATTATAAATATGTATCATAATTGTTGTAAAACAAGATAATGGTAATTTATATAATGTATTTCTATCGCTTAGAGGTGTGTGGTGTGCAGATGTGTCCCGCTTTCTTATAACCCAGAAATTGATTTTATTTTTTCTTGTGTGAAAGATTCTGTGCATTTTGATTGACTATAATTGGAGACATCACCACATGCAACTTTGATTCAACCTTTGAATCTATGCAAAAACAGCAGCCAGGACTCAGTCACTTGTTAAATGTGACAGAAACCCGCACAAGGTGTGAGAGTTCAGTGGAGTTCCGCCGCACACTAACCAATTCTCTGAAACTGCTACATAGTCTTGGCTGCTGTCCCGCAGCTCAGTTCCAGGGTGTTGGCAATCTTCTTACAGCTTTGGGCACAATTATGTAAAGACTTGTTTTTTGGGAGTGAAAAAGTGGGAGCGAAAATTTGAAAAAAGACCAAAATGAACACACCTGCTCCCTGTACATGTACATACCAGACACTTTGCCACACGAACGAGTCACATGACACTGGGGATGGAAAATGGCTAATTGGGCCCTAACCTAGGGGTGTAGTTTAGTTGCCAGCGTTTTATACTTAAATGGTTGTGAATTTAGTCGGGACAGTAAATTTACGCACTATAATACGAGCTATAAAACATTGTTTATTTGATATGTGTGTGTGTGTGTGTGTGTGTGTGTGTGTTTTTGTGTGTGTGTGTGTGTGTGTGTGTGACACACACACACACACACACACACACACACACACCTTTTTTTCCAAGATGGCCCCGAATAGGCAGCCGACGGCAAGTGCTCTTCAAGAGAATTGCTTTTTTTGTTGTTTTTGTCTTTTGTTTTGTCACAGGGTTTTTGGTCAGGGTTTTTTGGCCGCGACATTCGGCAAAGGAGAAGAATCTGTGCTTGGTGGTTGCGCCTTCTCGGCAGCACACGTGTACCAGCACTGAATTTGATTGGGAGGAATGTCGGCGCCATTTGACTGTCGGTGCTGGACAGACCCAGGGCACTTGTGTTGTTTGCGCCTATAATGGACAGCATTTGTCACAGCCCTGTTTTGTTCAGCGGAAATGTCGGCGCTGTTGGACAATCTGCGTTGGTGCGGCTGCATGAATGGCTGCTGAAGTTGAGGATGACAAGAGAGGAGTGTATTTGGAACTGAGAGTCACTGCTTGGAATTGAAACGGATTTACATGGGCCGGAGAAGTGAACCAATCTCTTTTTTTCATCAATGGACGCTACAGCTTCTTGTTTACTTTGAAACTTAGCTTGTAGCCGACGTGTGCACATTTTGAGCAGGACGTCTCTGATTTACTGGTGAAAGGACACTTTGATTCTCTCCTCTTTCATCTAGAACTGCTTTCAAACAACAAAGCGTATGAGGGAAAGTGGTTAAGATTGCACGAGCGTCTGTGTTTTTTATGTTATGGGTTGTGTTTACTATTTTACTTTATGTTAACTGTTTTGTTAAGAGCTTTGTTACAGCTGCAGCTGTTGTGAAAGTGGCATATAAATCAGGATGTATTGTATTGTATTGATATTGTAACGTGTCCTTTCTTCAGTACCACCTCATAAAAAAGGTAAACTAATGAAATATTTACAAAAATATGAGAAAATGTGAGGGATGTGCTTGTGCAATACTTTAAGTACATGCATGTCTTTTGAAAATGAACAGTCAATAATTGCATGTGTAAATGTGTAATTCCACACAGAGTACTGTGGGCGATGAGTGTGTCAAATTTGTAGAAAGACGGGTAAGCTCTTACCTATTAAGCCATATGACAAGAACTTGTTGACAGAGGTAAGGGCAAGGCCTGTGATTGGTCCAGTGGTATCCTCCGAGCGGACAACTTCAAGGAATGGCCGTAGGAATACATTGGGTTCAACATCTGACAGTTCTGCAAATAAGGAAAAAGACAGATCAGACATGTAATCAATCAATGAGGTAAAAAATAAATAAAAAAGATTATACATTTCGAATATTTTTCAACACTATAGGAAAAATGAAAAAAAAAATTCACACTACAATCCAGGACTTAAAAGTCTTATTTAATCTTAAAATAAGATAAGAAAACCTGTGAACAATAATGCTAATGTGAAAACACTGGGTAAAACCCGACCAGAGTGCACAACACAGCACATCGTCACGTAATCTCTTTCATAGGGCAGCAAATTTTGCTGGGTATTCCACTCCGGGAAACCACCTTCAAGAATTTTTCACGGGAACATTCCAAGAGAGAGTGGGGTCATGGGGGGTTAGGCAAAAAATAAAAAAGGGTTAAAAAAAAACAAAAGGCAAAGTTAGTGGAGTCATGCACGCCATAGTGAAACACTGAGTACATGCCCTTGCAATACCATGTAGATCATGGCTCCAGTCCAGGCATAGAAAAACAACTTGGGCATCAAAAGAGCTGCAGTGAGAGCCCAACTAATTTCTAAAACTGCACATGTGACCACCATGAATAAGCGTCTGATATCCAATAGCCCTGTGGCTTTGTTTAGAAATAAAATATGGAATCATTTGGAAACTCAAAGAGACTTTATCTGCCGCCAAGGTCACTTTAAGGCTCCCTTACTTTCAAAGGCAAACCTATTACTTTCTGCTTTATTGAATATTTTTTCACCTGGTGTTTTATTTCGGGGTAAATCTGAGAGCTTTGAGCAGTCACAGTTTTTTTTGGAGGGGGAGTAGTGAGGGGTTAACCGAGTGTAAATTTAGAACCAAGCAAAAAAAAAAAGTTCACTGTAAGAGTGTTTGCATAATGCTGCAACCAGACCAATGTACACTCGATTCATTTAGTAGACTGAAAAGATATGAATAGAGATTAATTGTTCACTGTATCTATTACTCATTGATAAAAGGAGTTTGAGTGTTGCCTTATGTTTCGATGCGGGGGGGGGGATGTAGTATTTGTGGAAGCCGGGTGCCCAAATGAATCTGTCAATAGATCCTGATGAAGACTTCTTCAGAGGTGATCACCCAATAAGTGCTCTAGCTTCTTTCCTAAAGACCAGATTGGAAAACTAAATTGTGCTGTATTGATCTGGATGGCCATCAGTGCACACGGTGCTGACTGAAGCCACGTGTCAATGGCCATCACCAATCTGAAATAAAGCCCAAATACAGACTTGGTATTTCAGGGTGAAACAACCACCCAAAAGCCAAATGACCTCTACATTCAATTGACAACAACGAACAAGAAAATAAGCAACTGAGGAGTAAAGCAGGCAGGCGTAAATGTGCAGCACATGTTGACATCATTTGCGTTTGCTCATTTAGGCCAAACAGAACATGAGCTGAAATTGCTATAAAACCAAAGTTGTAAAATATTGGTTGTGTACAGACTCTGATTGACCGTGAGCCTAATCCTCTCAAGCTCTCACCCAGCGAGAGCCCCATCTTTCTGCTCTGAGTATCCAGCCATGTGTGGATTACTACTCCAAATGACCCCAGCAAAAAGAAAAGGTGCGGGGGTGAACCTCAAACCCCCAGGAGAGCACCTCGGGATGAAGCTGGCTTACTGCAGAAACAGAAGCTCTCTTTAACACATGCACATCTATTGGCACTGGAGCAGAAAAGGCTTAGAACAGAGGGAGAAGAAAACAGCAGATGAAACTGAGCAGGAGACAAACATTGTTGTCCAGACAATGACGAAAAGAACTGAACATCAGAAATGGAGTACAAACAATACCCACGGTGTACCAAACCTTCCAACTATAAAACTAATAATTATTTCCATCTGGAGCCTCAACAGATTATATTGTAAGGCAATCTAAGCAGAGTCAAGAGTTATACAAACAGGGCAGTCTTAGGCCGAATCACAGTATTGAAGAGTAGAGCAAGTACATCAAAAGCAGAGTAGGATTACATTGTAACTCTCCTTGACGTGAAAATGAGTAATATCTTCATCTCACAAGTTCAATTTAAGGTGGGTTTAGATTTCTGCCTTTATCTATTTAGGCTGGAGTTTCTGTAAAGGCTATTTCAACTGATTTAAGTTTACATTTGAACTTACCTATGTATTTGACGAAACCACTGCTTTTTTTTCTTTTCATTAAGTGAAACATATTGTTTCTCAAGCTAACAATGTGTCAAGATTTCCCCAAAATGACAATCTCAAGATTTCCCCAAAGGCCACTCAACCAGGTTACAAAACCAAGAATGAAAAAAAAAATATGATAGCTGCTGGAGAAATGTAATCGTAGGTGTGGGGAAATAAATTGCCTATTTGGGGAATGCTTTTGTGTGATATCTTAAATTAATAAATTATGCTACCTCTTTTTTAATGCTCAAAAGAAAACAAATTTAACAAAGCTATTCATATATTATTTGGCCCTAATATCCAAATTCAAAATGTAATTTTAAAAGTATAAAAATTTTAAAAACAGTCCTATGTTTGGTTGTTGTTAATAATAATGTTTAACACACTTAGAATGACTTAGCACTTTTTTTGTTTTGTTTTGTACACTTGCATGAGAGAAAACCAACATCCTCCATAGCAGTAAAATGACAAATAGACATCATTCACAAAATACATACCAAATATTTCACTGAAAATGTTCTTTTTCTACCACCTAAGGTACAATGCAATGTGTGAGTGACAGAGATGGAAAAAATATATAAATATAAATTTTACACCCAATTAATAACACAGACAAGAAGCACAAAAGAGACAACACCCCAAAAAAAATTGGGTGTAGCCTACCAGAAGTGGTTGATGTTTATTTCAGCACTTGATTTTCTCATGATGAACAGTGTTATTTCTGAAGTGCTAACTTACAGCACTGTGATTTAAGTGTCTCTTAATTATTTTTTATTATCCGAAGCAAGTTCAGCGTTGAGTACTTGTATTGCTCAGAAAAATGTTCTGTTTTTGATATGTTAACCTAAGCACTTTTTATGAACCTGATGTTCTATTTTTATTTTGTAATTATTTGGAGATTTACAATAACAAACAAAACGGTGATATTCACCCTGGTGGTCGAAACTAAAGGTTGCAGGTAGGACTTGGGACTAGTCTCAACTACAGCAGCAAGTGAATGACTAGCACTGCATCTGTTCAAGTCTGTTCACGAACAATGAAAGACTTTCTATTGACACTTTTTTGTCTTTTGATCTGCCTCAATAATGTAATGAATTAAAAATGAAAATAGGGGTTTTCTCAGCACTTTTTAAATTAGATTAAAATAGATTAATTAGATCAATTAATTACAGATAATAATTAATCTGACTATTTTTTTTAATTGCTTTATAGCCCTAATTCAAGCACTCCACATAGTAAGTACGGCAAGAGCAAAGAAAAAGCAGCAGGCAAAGGAAGGGCTGATTTTGTCATTGATGGCGCAGTGGTCCAAAACCAACACTGATGGCTATTGATTTAGACCTGTTTGCGGCTAAAATTAGGTCAGACTCTTCGTTGCAGGTGCCGAGGTTGCTGATACTGAGAAGAAATGTGACACCAATCAGGTCAACAAAGCAAAGCAAATCTAGAGAGAAAACTCCTATGCTCACTTGTTGAAAAAAGTCTTCTATACCTTCATTGAAACTATACAGACCATTGGAAACGAATGAACTGTTTTTAGCGATGTTCAAGCAGCAGCATGAGTGGTTGGCACAACCACCTCACAGTTCTGAGGGTGGGGGTTCAAAACTCAGCTCCGACCTTCCTTTCATATTCATGTTCTCCCTGTGCTTGCATGGGCTCTCTGCACGTACTCTGTGGTCCTCCCACATTGTTAAAAACATGTTTCTCATGACAAATTCATCTGCAGGCGTAAATGAGAGTGTTTTTCTTTATACGTGCTGTGATTACCTCTTGCAAGTCAGCTGAGACAGGAGTGAGGATCAGCGGTACAGCGAATGGATGGATGGAGCAATAGGAGGCTCAAAAGTTCTGGTTGGCTGTGAAATGGTGAGCTGAAATGTGTTTCATATTGCAGAAACGATGATCTTTTGTTATTGTGTAAGGTATTGAGTTTTATTTTTTTTTTGCAGTTTGGGATAATATATAGTTTCTGAACAGATCTTGATAAACAACTCAAGGAAAAAGTGTTTATTTGAGCTAGAGGGTGGCACGGGATCCTCACGCGTTCACATGGTCTTAATGTTACCACCTCTGCTTCAGTTTGAGCCAGGAAAAACCAGTGGCGGACCCTGAGGGCCAGCAAGGCCTTCTCTGCTGGCCTAAACATTCTCAGAAAAGTAAATTTACTTTTCTGAGAAGAACATAAATTTGTTATTTTATTTTCATAAATATGTTAACAAAATTATTCTCTGTATTCTTTACGTCATATTATTTCCACTTAGTTGAGTGGCTTTCAATGTTATTTTAAATAACATTGAAAGCCACTCGAAAAATAACTTATTTATTATGGTAGAGTTTTTAACCAATCATATTCAATCTAGCTTGTGTTGCCAGGTTAATTAAACTTGCTCGGGGCCTTCAGATTAAACAGAGCAGGCCCCTGTGCGCTGTAAATGAACGGGCATCGTCAGGTTTCAATAGCCAATCAGATCACGAGTCTGAGACTCGAGATCTATATCCTGTATCCTGACTTGTTCTCGTCTGCCTACTAGGGCTAGCTAGAGGGCCTTACGTCGAGACTGGCCGTGCGCGTTCGGTGATTGGATTAGCGCCTTTTCTGTTTCCTGAGAATTGTATCCTGACTTG